ATATATATATCACAAATGCAGCATTTCTGAGCTACTAATTAAAGCAACTGCATCACTTTTAGCCTTGAGTTCTTGTGGTAATGGCTAGCACAGACATGATGTGGTTCAATGAGTGCCAAAGCACTTTCTAAGCATGTCCAATCATGTGTATCTATACAAATAAATCTATAGATTTTTGCATATCTATAGTAATGAGACCACCCAAAGCGTATAGCAACATGGAATATGGTTTAGATATTTGATCTAACCAAATGCTGATATCAGGCCTAGATTATAAAATGTTAGAGCTACTTACCTATAGGTGGATGACCACTAGAGCTGACAGAAATCTGTGCTCTACAATAGGCTTTGCTCTCCACTAGTTCTGAGGATTTAGGAAGAAAAAAAATTAATGTAAAAAAAAATATCAAGGTAATTTCCAGAATTGCTTAAAAATATATGAGGTAATCAAGGTAGTTACCTACTGTGCCACCATATCCATTATCGTAAAAATAATTGTCTTCTTTCCAAGATGTCATTAAAGATGGATCTTATGCACAGAAAATAACAGAACAAAAATAAATACTGGTGAAATAATATTGCTAGTTAGAAACAAGAAATTTTCCATATTCAGAACATAAAATTTAAATTTTCAACAGAAATAACACATACAAAAGCATCAAAGTATTTTATTAAGTACAAGAAGGCATACTGAATGGTCTTAATTCAATAGTTTTTTTAATTATGTTATAAGGTATTATAAAATACAAAGGGGGAAGGGAAAAGGGGAAAGAAAAGTGAGGAAGGAAAGGGGAAGAAAAAGAAACAGAACCATTGACTTCTGGCTCTCTCTGTTACAGTAGAATAAGGCATTAACAACAAATCACAACTTTTTGTTTTACCATAATAGTATGAACCCGTCATTGTTATACAGATCTATCTAATCTGTAAAACCCAAAACCAAAGTTTCACTTTTCTTCCACATCAAACATGAAGTTCAGAAGTGGTTTCCATGTGGAAACAAATGTACCTATACTCTTTTCGTTAAGCAGGCATACTGAATGGTATTCATGGTGCAAAAATTAGACATTTTCATCTCCAAGGGTGTGCAATTGGACATAAGAATTTGTTTTGCTTTTTTCAGGAGCAAAGGTAGAGAAAAGCCATTCTAACAGCTTTAAAGCATGGCACATTCCTGAACAGATTGAAAGTAAGCCCATGCTATCTTCACTGTTAGCACAGCTTTCAATCTGCTCATGAAAGGTGCCATGCTTTAAAGCTATCTTGAGAAGTTTAAATTTGCTGTAAGTGCTGTACCAAAGTAAGGGCTGCATTTACAGCTGGTGTATGTTGGGATTGCCTGTTTTGGGTGAGTAAGATGGCAAAAGGCGGATGAATCATTGTTTGGCTTACTCTTCCTTGGTCTTGCTCCAAACATGGCTTTTACCTGACCCCGTTTTTAAGCCTGCACTCTATCCTTTAAGCTCCTGCAGCTTCTCGAGTTTCAACAATTGTTATTTTGTTATTTAAACCATATTTTCATAAAGCCTTTCCTTCTTTCTTTGGATGCCTCATACTTCTGTTCATGTGTTATTGTTCTTTTTATTATTATTATTTTTACTGTGGCTACAAGACTCAAAAGTTGGGAACAGCTCTTGGATCCCTAAAAAGTTCTGATTTTATAATTGCTACCTTGGTAAGGCAGGAAGGAATCCTGTATGCACCTAAGTACCCTTTTTTATTATTTCTTAAACACATTTCTTCATTTCTGCATCTAACTTTTGCAGGCATTGGGAAGACAAAGAGGGATACAGATAACCAAGGCTATATTAAGCATGTTATCCAACTGCAATCACATGATATAATTTTGCTCTTTTCTTTCTAAAATCTTAATCTGATAATCTTGGATTATAGCAAGAAATAAGCATATTGTTGTAGGAAGCGGGAAACAAAAATAAAGGTTTCACAACTGTTCTAAATTTATCTTTTGACCCAAAGAACACATAGATGAGCACAATACTCATCTGGGTACTATTGCTAGAGATTAGTCCTTCTGTACAAAAATTTGTCTCCTTTTTAGAAGATGTTAACCTTGTTTTTGTTTCCATTTCCAAATGCAGGTTTGGGGATCTATTTGTCTTTTAAAGTAATGAATATGTGATTACACCTGGAAATGAATCATGATGAATGCTAAACCTTTGTGCTTTGCCAGCTTAAAACTTATGAAATAGGAATTTAGTCAATCTTCTGCTTACTAGCTATGTATTTGGGCATCCCAAACCTATGTCCTTGCAACAAACTCTCTTGTCATTCAGATGCCTGGTCTACCCTTTGTTTGTTTGTTTTTTTCTAAAAAATAAAAAAGACTCACCCAAGTAGGATTGGGGAGTAATGTTTTTGCTATTCTACATGGTACAAAAATATTGCAGTAGCATTCAGCTTAGTGTAAGAAGCCTCCAAAGGACTCACACAGTTACATGGTGTTTTATTTGATAATGCAAAAGAATCATTTGAGGGGTTCAGTGGGCAAGACACTGAGGAAATTCAAAGTCAGATGTGTCATTCAAGTCAGCCATGGAAGTGGACCATGAATCCCCAGAAATTTCTTATAGCTTTCTGCATACACCCTTAGTATTATTAATATTACAGCATAATAGAACAGACTGCCTGTTTTGATGTAGTAGTTCTCAGGGGTCACAAGCAGAAAAAAATCTCTTTCATTGGGTATTATTGGATTCTTTGAAAGTTGATATCTGAGATTAAACTGAAGACCTTTAGCTTGCTTACCTTATAAACAAATTTATATTTGCTTCTAAATAATCATTCTCCTAGTTCTTTCCTGGTTTGCAATTGTTTAGAACAGAAATAATGTAAATATCACTTACCTGTTTGTTCTGTCTTAACAATGACATTGTGTGATGGATACACTTCACTTCCACATTGACCTGGCAGAAATGAATGTAATATGCAATGCAATTATTAAAAAGGCAGAATTTCAACCATACATCTCCAGAACAGCTGGAATATATTAACAACAGGAAGCAATGCCATTGAGAGCTACATAAATAATATATCAGAATAACAAAAAATAGATATTCTCATGCTAACTTTGCTTCTGTTTATAAGAAGTAGCAATTCACAAGCAAATACCAGCAGATTTACTTATTATTAAATATTATTTAAAGAATCAGGTTGTCTGAAGCAAAGAAACCAGACATTTCTAATATAGGGAAGGCAGACTGGTATTAAACAAAAGTAATGTTGAAGATAACATATTGTTCACTGACAATAATGCACTATAGAAAGCCTTTAGTGTGTGCCAAGAATCTTGTCCTGACTGGAAAAAAAAATAAAGTATTTTTAAGTTTTAAAAAAGTTCACATTTATAATATGGTTCTAAGAATATGAGACAACCCTAAAACCAGGGGGGAAAGTTGAGTTGGGATAATATAGGTTAGAGACCCCTGAATGCCCTATTTAGATATTATTTAGTGCTTGTTGTAGCTTTAATAAACATTGCAGCCATTTTGTGAGACTACCTATGGTCTCAGGATTCCAAATTTTTGCACTGAACTAAATCTAATTTAAACAAAAAAAAAGTTGCAGTCCTGGAGTTGAATTAAGGAAAATGCATGCTTGTAAGTTTTCACTTATGTTCCATCCAGGGTTGGGATTCAATTTTTTTAACAACCAGTTCTGTGGGTGTGGCTTAGGTGGTGGGTGTGGCTTGGTGGTCATGTGACTGGGTGGACATGTCTTGGTGGTCATGTTATTGGCTGGGTGTGGCCAACTCAATATCAATCATATCGAGGCACCCATCTCCTCACCTGGCCTCTCATGGCTGTGGGGATGCTGCAACAGTTGTAAGTGTGAAAAATGGTCATAAGTCACATTCTTTAGTGCCACTGGTCACTCCACACAAGCAAAGTACCAGCAAAGGAGGGGAAAAAACTCCAGAGAACTTCCTGAGACAGGAAGCCTAGTCTTGCCAAGAATGTAATAAGGGTTAAAGTAGTAACAGTTTCTGTAAGCAACACCAGAATGTTTCCTTCCTGCCTTCCTTACAGGATTAGGCCAGTAATTTCTTCTAACAACTGGTTCTCCAAACTGTTTCGAATGTTAACAACCGGTTCTAGCAAATAGGTGCGAACTAGTAGAATCCCACCCCTGGTTCCATCCCAAAACGTTTATATACTATAGGATTTGAATAATATATATATAGCATAAAGATCTGATCCTGAAAACCTGATTAAATATTCTGTATGATATTTTTCAAAACTTCCTTTTGGGCTATGGGGACATTTTGTTGTAAATTACTGGAAGTAAATTATTTTTCAAGAGATGTTGGCCTTACGGTCTCTGAGACCTGGATCTACTGCATAGCAATGCTTGATTTGTTGTGTTAAGCCTTGGAACAAACTGTTTTGACCTTCAGCCATATTAAGAAATGGATATCTTTAAGATCATAAAAAAGATTCCACCAGAAATATTATTTCTATTTCAGCATACGTAGAAGATAGTCTTCACATTTTTAGATCAAGGTTTTATATAGTAGATTCAGAATTGTTCAGTGACAAATGAATTGGGTGGGATATTTATTATAAAGTTTCTCTTTCATTTTACTTCTTAATGATTTCTGAATGTGAGGAATACATTTTGAACAAAATTTTATATATTGTGTCTAAATCTTGTTTTCCCAGTTCTAAGCCTCTATTCATTGCTAAATCAATTTCCCACATCTTTCATTATTGATCCTGAGGCTAAATTTGATCAGAATTGTAATCTATTAGTACAATAATAACTGATGTTTAGAAGTTGGGAAAGGTAACATATATTTGGGTTATGCAACCCAACAAGACAAACACTGACTCCAGAGAGAAATTAGGACTGCAGAAAAAATGATTACTACCAACCTGCCTTCAATCGGGGACCTGTATACTGCACAAGACAAAAAGAGGGCTGTGAAAATATTTACAGACCCCTCAGATCCCAGACATAAACTGTTTCAACTCCTACCCTCAAAACGACGCTATAGAGCATTGCATACCAGAACAACTAGACACAAGGACAGTTTTTTCCCAAACGTCATCACTCTGCTAAACAAATAATTCCCTCAACGCTGTCCAACTATTAACAAAGTCTGCACTACTATTACTATTAATCTTCTCATCACTCCTTATCGCCCACTTGTGACTGTATGACTGTAACTTGTTGCTTGTATCCTTACAATTTATATTGTTTTCTAGTATGATTTGATTGCTTATTGTACCTTTTGACTATTAAAGTGTTGTACCTGATGATTCTTGACTCTTGATGAATGTATCTTTTCTTTTATGTACACTGAAAGTATTTGCACTAAGACAAATTCCTTGTGTCCAATCATACTTGGCCAATAAAGAATTCTATATCTATATCTATTTTAGTGAAAGGTTTTACCATTCCATTTTAGATGATGGAGGTTGTTGTAAAGAAGTTGTCCAGCAGAGCCAGCTGCCCGGGTGAAATCTTGCAAAGTCATGCTACACAGATGATCCCCACTGATGTCAAATTCCTGGAATGGGATACAGTTGGCATCAAGCTGGTTGGTGTCCAAAAGATGTTGGAGCCATTCCCAGACCTGATACTTTGTCCAATACTGAGGATGTATTTCATGCCACTGTGTTCCAAAAAAACTGCTTGATGCTGCTGCAGGAAAAGATGTAGTAATCACTAAAGAAAACATTTCACTATCCATGAATAATATTGGTGAAAGTGAGGAATGCTTCATTTTTATTTACATATTAAATTATTGAAAAAATCTTTAACATAGAACAGACAATGATAAATAATGAAAATAAGCATTGATATAAAGGTGAAGTAATAATAAAAGCAAACATCTTTGGGAATTAAAATGTAAATCCAGAACTTTGACTCCTATCCTTCCAAACAGAAGCTAAATTCTATAACAGGATAGAAAAATAAGTTTTTTGGGGAAAAACCCAACTGACACCAATGAAAAGGATTAAACTATTTTTATGTACTCAATGGAAAACCTGTAGTAGGATTTTCAAGGAAAAAATATCAGGTATGAATAGTTAAATAGTCTTTATCCAAACTACATTCAGATTAGTAATTTGAGTTTCCAGAAAATAAATGGAAACCAATTATATGATCAGAATCTCATGCAGTCTAATGCACCCAGGTAATATTTAATGATCTCATGCACCCAGGTAATATTTAATGATATTGGCTATGATTATGAATTCAGAAGTAATTACAATTTGGAGGCATCCTCAAAAAGCAGCCTCATGTAGAACACATTACAATAATCTCATTAAGAGTTCATTAAGAAAATTAACTATGACTATGATATGTTTATTCCTATTTTTAAAAGAATGCAATAGGTGGGCAAAATGAAGTCAGTGTGTGCATCAGCATACAGAATTCTAATCTTGGGATTTACAATTATCTATTTACTCCAAGGCCTTATATACAACTCAAAGTGAATCTTGAGGAATTTAGAAAACAAAAACTCTAGTTATTTGGTAGGCAATCCATGAATTTTTTTTACAGTAAATGTTGAACTGATATTTATTGAATTGATAATAGTAGCAAGATTATAATAAACATATGACATAGGATTGCTTTAAAGAAATGTCAAGTTTTAAAACTGTGGTTGCTACAAATTAAATCCTAAATGATTTTTTGTATGATTTAAGGGACCACATTTTAGTGCTTTTTATCACCTTTATAGACTCAGAACACCTTTATTACTCTATTTCCATATTCAGAAATAAGTGCTTATTTTAAATTCAATAATGAGAAAAACATTTTTGATGAGCTAGTTATATGAACATGATTTATTTAAAGTCAAGTTTAATAGGTACTTCAGTCAAGTGCCAAACAAAAAGGTTTCTACCTCACCCAAAATTACTTCTGGCCATTGGTGGCTAGGTTAGTTTCTTTGCCAATGAGAAGCAGTTAACATTAGCTCAGCACAGCAAGAATTGAGATCGAGAATTTCAAGTTGAAATGATGCGCATTCTAGATTTGAAACTTAGATTAGAAGTTGTCTATTTGGGTGGAGTTGCCTAGTAGAAGTTGCTGGGAGGATTACACTTTGCAGAAAGCAGTTGCTCTTTTGCTTTAATATTTTAAATGAAAAAAGGAAGAATGGAAAATAATTGCATTCATTACAATTTTAGTTTACAGTAATTGGACTGTATTCCATGTTGATAACATAAGATTGCAATCATATAATGAGTTTCACTTTATCAAAATAAAAAGTATGCTTTGCAAATAGCACAAGGACAAGAGAAAGATGTATAGTTTTCAAACCTATTCATAGATCACCACTGGTGAATACTTCCTACCATTACATGTGGGATATTCTTCTGTCCAGGTCGACTGTTCATGGAGAAGACTTGTGACGGTATTAAGACTCATTCTGCCAGTTCCTTCTAAAATCATGATCTGTAAATGCACCAAACAGCTCACTTAACTTGAACTTTTTTCTCCACAATTGCCAAGAATATCCCATCAAAATAAGCAATACCAAGTACCTATCAGAAGTTGCCCTGTTAAAAATACATTATTAAAATACATTTTTTGATGAATCCTCCCCCCAGTGAATAACAAAACATTACATTTGATTTTTACAGACACAAGGCAAATTATTAAAACACCCACCCATAAAGAATGAAGAAATGAATCAAAAACAAATAGCAAAAGAACTGTGCTTCCTTTTGTGTTTGCTTCCCAAAAGTGAAAAAATAACAACAAATAAAAGTATAAACGTAATGGTGAATATTAAAACACAAGTAATGTTATTGGACTTTCCCATTAAAGCAAATAATACCAAAATAATTTTAACAAATATATAATTTACATAAAATACTTCCATGGATTTATATGCCACTTGAGAAATATTGTGAATATGTTGCATTTGGCCAGCAGACTGTATTCATTAGTTAAAGCTAGGAGCTCTTGAATATAAGCTCTTCATGTTGTCATAATATCAAAAGAAGAAATAAAAAGTAAGTTTGGATAAAATTTGAATCACCCTCTGAAGAAAGAGAGGAAGGTAACATTTGCTGTTTTTTTCCCTTTGTAGTTTCATCCTTTGCATTGTTCTAGATAGGTCCATCATCCCACAAGTTATGTTCCACTTTCAGGAAATCTATATCCAGGATAATGTCTACTTCTGATCATTGTCAGTTTTGTAAAAGTTTTATCCAAAACTCCATTCTGCTTCCTAGTTTGCTCATCCAGGATTAATTTTACTGGAGTCCACGGGAAGATGCCAGGCTAGAAAAATGCTGGATGTTCCAGTCTTTCTTCCATTTAATCTTCCAGAACATTTTACCTAAAGTGATTTTCCTTGCCAACACAAGAGACATTTTGAACATTTGAATTTTCTACAACTAACTCATTACATTAAATCTCTGGAATATTTTCAAATTGCTCAGAGCCTGAAACTTACACAAGCCCATTGGACAGGGAACTAAATCACTTTGTTTCTTCCACAAAAATGGATTTCTCTTACTGCTGCTATTCTTCTCAAAAGACGAAGGTTCCTTATTTAACAGGTGTAATATGTTCTATAACAATTTCCTACCAAAATAAAGAATAAAAAATAAATTACATATTTGGTTGATCCTGAATGAAAAGCAAGGTTTCTTTTAAATCTAATAAGTTTCATTGTCATAAAAGGGGCAACATTAAGCATTTCATCTCATTCCAACAACAAATAAAGACATAATTGCCAGCAATCACAGTTTAAAAATGTATGTAACAATGTTTTGAATGTAAAGGTATAAATGTTATCATACTTCATCCCCTAAAAAAGAACTATCATTCATACAATTGTATGAAAAAAATGCAGACACTGCTATTTCTTTCCAACTACAATCAAATAAAGATTATGATTCTGAATTAAGACTTAAATTTGCTCTCAAGTTGAAGGCAAACTTCCTGGTTCAAACCCAAGGTTGATTGGAAGGTTAGACTATTTTCCAAGTCAATGACTGGACTGAAATGGATTTTGTAGTCACTAGACACTACCTATGTAATGTGTTTGCGCACATGCATGTATATTCATGTGCATGCACGTGCATTCAAGATGCTATAACTCCTACATATTTTTCCGTGCTGTTTCAATCAGCTTCCTAAAATATGACTATTTCCTTTAGTCACTACTAATCCTTCCATTAAGTAATGTAAAATTGCTGCCTTAGACAACCAGTAAAATGAAAGGCCAACAAATTATTGCCCTCAGAGATTGAGAAATATGCTTTGAGATTTTTCTGTTCTATATGTCAAATTCCTTTACCACATTCTGCACGACAATTTAAGTTGTGGCATTTCAAGCAGCAAAATCTCTTGGGCAAGCTCTGGCTTTAATACTTTGTATGAAATTGTACTGCTATTAAAAACAACATTTGACATTAAGAAATGTCTAATTATCACTGAAGCTTGAAAATAATTTTCCCAGCAGATAACTATTACCCCTCTCCCATTACAAAAGTTACAAAATGTTAGAACTCCCAAACATATTGGCATACTTATCAAAAAGTCTGTTTATCTGAAACCAGAGCTCTTATTTTGATAAAAGATATTCAGTACAGCTTGCCACGTCAGGATTCCTAGCTTTATTACACTGAAACTTTTTCATAAAGTAAAAAATCATTCCAAGAAGCTTGAAAAGATGAACTGTCTCAGTTTATCCTTTTGCACCACCAAATGAAAGTTTTAACTAAGACCCTGTCATTAGCTAAGTCCTGAGTTTCTGAATACAACGTTTAAACCAGCTAGAAATGAAGCCAGCTTAAAAGAAAACATCATGAGAAAGGACCTAAAAATAACCACCGCCACCCTGATTTTATTTAGTATCAGATGGGATAGAGAGAAATTTGCACTAGCTTTCACAATTTTGATATTCTCTTTTAGTGCAATAAAAAGTTTTTCTAGAGTCTGTGATATACTTATTTCTTGACCTGACCTTTAACTATCCAGAGAATGCCCTAGTTTTTATCCTTTTTTTTTGTCACTTGGTCTAGAAGGGGAAAGTGGCAGAACCATTTCTCATGACTAAAATGAAGGAAAGACAGCTCATCATTTCATAATCCCATTATTCTATCAATGAAATATTAAAAAGTCAAGACAAGAGACCTTTTCTGTTATCTCAGTGAAAGAAAATGACATGTTCATTGTTTTCTTGTTCTATTACTAAACTTGTTCGAAAAAAATAACAAAAACAAACAACCCCAAACAGGTTTTCCCCCTCCAAGGATGAACTTAAAAAAAAAAAAAATAGCTGTGAAGAATGGGAGGATGAGGCAACTTTGTTTACAATGAAACCGGAGCAGGCAAACCAGATAGCACTCCTTGAATTGACACAGGTGAGAAAAATGACTTCTGAGACATTGAAGGGAAAAATAGCACTTCAAGGTTTTCTTCTTAATAGGCTGGATATAGGTAAGTGCCAGGATTGTACGTTTATGTCTTTGAGAAACAGTCAGTGACCTGGATTCACACTGAGTTATGCTGAACACAAGGATCAGCACTAAATGTCTTTGACTTTATGGATCCTGTTATAATGGCGTGGGGTAACAATCAAACCTTACAGCAACAGCATGTAGACTTACATACTGCTTCACAGTGCTTTACAGCCCTCTCTAAGTCGTATACAGAGTTGCCATGTTGTCCCCAACAATCTGGGTCCTCATTTTACCCACCTTGGAAGGATAGAAGGCTGAATCAACCTTGAGCCTGGTGAGATTCGAACTGCTAAATTGCAGGCAACTGGCAGTCAGCAGAAGTAGCCTGCAATATTGTATTTAAACACTGCGTCACCGCAGCTCTTATGACAAAATTATAGCATTTGCTGGTTTAGTACACACTCAACCCTAAAGATGAGGGGAGGTTTAAAAAAAAAACTCTTCAGCATGCAAATGAGACATTTATATTTCTTTTCCCTTTGAACAAAAAAATCACCAAATTAGGAAAACAGGCACTAGAAGACTTAACCATTGGAAGTGAGACAAAAATGTTTGAAACAACTTATTCAGCTCAGGTTTGGTTTTGTTTAGCAGGAGGATGAGGAGGTCTTTGGCTTACATAGCAGAAGAACACATCTTAGAGGCATAAATGCAGGGTATAAGTCAAATAAATCAACAGGGGAATATTTATAGTATTCAGTGCTGTTGAAAATATCAGACCCTTGTTCCAGTGCCAGATTTAATGTTTATTAATAAGTGCCTATCTCTGCAGAAAATATAAATAAATCCTTTCTGACAAAGGAAAATTTGTATAGCTGGGCAATGGATGAATCCGTTTCTAAAATTCTTGTCTGAATCTATATCTAGTTATGAAAAAATCAGGGATGGAAATCCTTGGCCCCTTGTCATATTCCTGGTTAATCTTAGTTTCCTTTATTCTAGCCCAATTTAATCATCATGCTTATTTGAAGAAATATATTATAATATCCAATCGTGGAATGGACAACGCTGAGATAATTGTTCCCTTGACTTTTCTCTAGAAAAGCATCTAGTCTAATACTAACAATAGCAAAAGCAATAGCACTTAGACTTATATATTTTATAGTGCTTTACAGCCCTTTCGAAGTGGTTTTATAGAGTCAGCATATTGCCCCGAAAAATCTGGGTCCTCATTTTACCCACTTCAGAAGGATGGAAGACTGAGTCAAACTTGAACCTGGTGGGATTTGAACTGCCAAAATACATGCAGCTGATAGTCAGCAGAAGTACCCTGCAGTACAGCATTCTAACCACTGTGCCACCGAGGCTCTTATTTCATTTCATTAAATCATAATTCTGTAATTTCTGATAGAATGGCTAGGATCTGTTGTCTGCCTTCACCAGTGTGGCACTTCACCAGTTGTTGTTAGCATACTGAGGTGAAGATATTGTTGAGTCAAGATGATAATGCATGTGCTTTGCCATCTTCCTGTATAATTTTAATTTACTGAAAAATTGAATTCATACACACAAATACAGACTATACACAAAAACACATACATAGATATGACATATGTGCTATGCATGTCACAAGCAATTTTCAGGCCATGAATTTCATAACTTTGCACTGTAGGGTTGCCTGTCCTCTGCTTAGTCTGACATTAGCTTTTATAAAATCTGCTTTTTTATAGAAACAGTTTTATATAAGCAGTAAAATATAACCTTCTGGCTATGATTTAGCTTCTTGTTAGATTTTTGTCCAAAATAAATGTTCCTGGGGTTGTTTAGGGGAAACAGAAGCATGACACTTACAACAAATGTTTATTTATTTGTTCATTCACTGAATTCAAATTTTTACACTGTTCATCTTGGAAGGGACCTTGTAGGTCATCTAGTCCAACCCCCCGCCCAAGCAGGAGACTACACCATTTCTAACAAATGGCAGTCCAATCTCTTCTTGAAGGTCTCAAGTGATGATGCTCCCACAACTTCTGAGGGCAAGCTGTCCCATTGGTTGATTGTTCTCACTGTCAGAAAGTTTCTCCTTATTTCCAGAGTTAAAAAGCAAGGTTAAAATTTACAAGTTAAAAAAAAATTAAGATGTTAACAAGACAGTTAAGGAGTTAAGACAGAAGGAGTGTCCTCAAGCCATCAGCCCCCTCCAGATTACCTAAGGCTCTTAGACCCCCATTCTAATTAGCAGAGCCAGGTCTTAAGAGTTTTCTGAAAGCCCAGAAGATTGACAGCTCACTTCATCTCTGGGGGTAAAATATTCCAAAGGACAGGGGCGGTGGAAGAAAAAGCTGTCTTCCTAGTTTATTCTAATCAAAAAAATTTAACTAAGAGGATCCATTGCCCTATCTACCTGATGGGGTTTGGGCAAATCAATGCAATCAAGGCGAGTTGGTTCCTCAGTTAATCTGGTTCCATGCAATGAAGGGCTTTAAAGATGATAACCACACCCTGAATTAAACCTGAAAGCAAACTGTCACCTAGTGCAGCTCATGTAGCAATGTGTGTACTTGTTCCCAATGAAACAACAGAGGAAGAAAAAAGGGTAAGTATAAAAAAATATATAAAAACATTTATAAGCAAGGATAAAAACAATTATCCTGACAGAGTAGCTTTCTTGAATCTGTAGGCTCTAGTCCTCCAGGAACTCTCTACTATTCCTGACCTGTGCTATTAATTAAGCATCCTTGGCAATCTTTACATGTTTGGAATTCTTAGACGACTGTGGTTTCTCTGCAAGACAGAGACTTTCTAGTCTCCCAAGGTAGAGAAAACATGCTAAGTATGGCTTCTGGAATTTTTTTTCAGCCTCTTAGCAGTGGAGCTATCTGGGCGCAATGTGTGGCATACACCTATGGGTAGACTTGTATTCTCCCCAATGTGCAGGCTGAGAAAAATTGAAATGGTCTCCTCTGGGTGATGTGGCCAGGACAAAAGAAGGGAGGGTTTAAAATGGAGCAATCAACAATATAGCAGGCTGCTTCCTACCTACCTCTGACCTCTCCCATAGGGATGTATGGGAAACTGTGGAAGCCTAGTTTCAGGCTTGATCTTTCTTTGGCTCATGTCTTCTCTGATACTAAATTTGGTCTAGTCCCATTTGGTTTTCAGGGGATTATTCTG